CCTTGTATTTGTTATATCATGAAAACCACCAACAGCAGCAATGCTTTAAGACAGAAGAATAAAAGATAGAGTGTGCCACAGAAAGTTGGATTAAGCATTTCTAGTGTGACTGCATTTATTTTGCTCTTCTATCATGTCCTCCTGTTTCCTTCTGTGTGCACAGCCTGGCACTATCACACTGGCATCTCCTATGGCACAAAACATCAATCTTTTGTTTCTGCCACTCTTTCTTGGCCTGTTCCCCACCATTCTGTACTGTGCAATTGCTTCCATGCTATTTCCTAAAGAAAATGCGGGCAAAGGCATCTCAAAGCTTATCAGGGCTCTCTGCTATGGCTCTACCAGTGGCCAGAACAGGGCTGCCACCTTTCAGATACTAAAAAAAAGAGCCCCAAAATGAAAAAAAGATAAAAAAAGGAAAGACTTCTTTAGATAAATGGTCCCCAAGAATATACAGATCAATCTGCACAAGTACAGTAGCTCAGAGGGTGACAGACGACTGCACAGTAAAACTGTCCAGAAATTGGGCAGATGGCGATCCCAGTTCAGAGTGACTTTTGGGGTCAGATGGGTACAAATGGACCAGAAAGCCTCCTCACTGGACAGCTGTGGCTGTGGGGTGTAGGGGGCTTTCTTGCTGGCACTAGCGGCTCAGAAAGCGTGTGGGGGAGGCAGGGCAGAGGGGTGGATGCAAGCGCAGGGCTGTGCCCACCTGCCTGCCATGGTGGTGCTGCTGGGGAGGGGGCAGCTAATGGAGTATAGTCCCACTTCTTACAGCTGTGTGGGAGCCCCGAGGTAAAAGGGGGCTGCACGGGTAGGAGGGAGGCAGGTTGCAGAGCCAGGCAGGTCCCAGGTCTCTGCGAGTGTATCCCCCACAAAGCTGGGGCTCCCTGCCAGGACCGAAGGACTTGCCTCTTGTTGACAGTCTGAGAGGGAAAAAGACATTGCCTCTCCTAATTTGACACACACAGTGATACTGTACAGACCATGGCAAGATAGCCTTTTATTTTCCCTTTATTGATCTAAGCATCACTTTTGTATGCTCAGGTTTTGAGAGAAGCCTCAGGAGAGAATACTATCCTACTAAAAGGCGGTGTCTTTGCTAAGGTGTGGAACGCCACATGCCAGCATCAAACGCTATTCTCCAAGGGGCTGTGATCTCTTGCAGCCAGGAGTTTCATCTCCTCTTGGGATGGCATCTCCCCTGTGGCTTGGCTGGTTTCCACATGGCGAATGGGGACAAAGCCCTGCTCTGAAGTGCCGGTCTGGAGAAGACACCGCCATCGAGCACTGGACACGGGCACAAGCGACACTTGCCTCCCACTTGCCGGAGGCCCCCCTACCCACCCTGATTGGTCCCCCCGAAGCTCACCTTGCGTTTCCTTCTAGATTTCGGTAAACCCTTCTCTGCGGGGGGGTCAGCACTACTACCCTGCGGGAGGCTGGCCGCCTGGTTTGCTCCGGCGCTCATGGCCAGTGGCTCTTCAGGCAAACGCTCTGGAATCCTGGACAAAAGAGCCAAGTCAATGTTGACCCACAGCGACTTTACCTCATCACTGTCTTTCAGAGGAGACAGGAGCTCATTCCTACCGAAAGGAACCAGGGTGTAAAACTGTTCCTCCAGCTCCTTTGCTATTTC